AGTTTGAAAGGATCATGAAGAGACTCTCTTTCAATTTTTTTCAGAAACACACCAAAACAGATTGGTGGCAGACACATGTTGTTATCCACACAGCTCTAGTATACTAATGATGACAGGGATAAAGCTATGAAAAACAACTGCTGCTTTTCTAAAGGGAAAAAAAAAACCTCTCATGCTTGACTATCAAGCAAATTACACATTTTTGTATTTCTCCAGCAAAATTACCTATGTATTACTGAAACAAAGCAGAAACCATAAAAATGACAATTTATGTGTCTTCCATCAAAGAAAACAGGTAAACAACAGCTCAGTTACAACTTCTAGCTGACATTACCGCATCTGTTGAAAACTGTCAGCTGTTTGCTCCTGCCCACACTCCACAGAACTGGTATGGCTGAAAAATACCAGTGGCAGAATATTTCAAACGGCTGCTGAATCATGCCAACTCTTTCATCAACAAATTTAGCTCAAATTTGAAACAAAATATTTTGAAAAGAAAAATCAAAATATTAGGCATATATAAAACCGAAAAAAATGAAGACAAAAAAAAAAGTAAAAATATCCACCTTGCCCCTCTGCAGATGAAACTTGGGTCTATTTTCAGCTGTTAGTATGAGTTTTCTTCTGAAGTACCTGTTAAGCTACAGAAAGCTCAGGACCCTCTCAAAAGGACTCTGCCCTCTGCTTCTCCAGTGTTCTCACCTAGCAGTAACAACGGATTTATTTAAACTTATTTTGCCTTTCCTTTTTTTCAGAGTTATGCTCACTCCTGTCTTTTTGAGAAACTTGTTCATACTGGGGACTTCATAGCTGCACCCAAAATTTCAAAGACTATTGAAAGAATCTTCTTATGGGTCTATTAATTTAGAGGCCTTTTTAGAGGCTTTCTTTGTGTTGCCCCATTCCTTTAGCTCCTTGGTGTCTGTAAAACTGTTAGTTAACTATTCTCAAATATTTTGAAAATGAGATTTGTCAAGCAGCAAAAAGAGGTCTGAAACATTTATTCTTCTGCTCCTGTTTACCTTTTCTTTCCTCAGTCAGGTGAGCTCTGATTATAAACCCAACATTTCATGAAACAAACAGCTTCTGAATTTTTTGGCACTGCAGAGCTGTTCTGTCTTCTGACTCCTCTCCCTCAAAACAGTGTGACTTGCAACACTGACCTGTTCATAGCCTCATAAATTTACGTGGCAGTGTTTACATAAAACTTTTGACAGTCTTGCAATTTGAATTTCTTGTGGCATTTTAGTATATGACACAACGTATCCCATGATATATTAATAACGTCAGTGTGGGTGTAGTTTGTCCCGCTTGTCAGATTTAGATGATGTTGTCACAGGTGAAGAAGTACAATTATCCCCATCTCCCACCTCATGATTTCATAGTGTCAGGAGATAACAAAAGTCCAGGTAAAAGTTGGACACAACATAGGAAACATCTTCCCTTAAATAATGGTCTTGACTTCTCTCCTAGTCCAAGCTAATTCACCAAATCATATCCACAAAAACTGCAATTACATACTGTACTACTTGGAAAAGAAACAACAGACTCACAGGAACTAACAGTAAAACAAATTTCTGAATAAACAAGATAACATAGCTGAAAAATGTGACTACTCTTCTTTGGATCAGTTACAAAATTAGTGAAAAATTCAGTTCTATCTTTTCCATAGGGAAATAAGGAACTCTGTTAGAATTTACAAAAATAACCCAAGCAGACTTGAATTATGAGTCCCCTGTCAAGTTTAGCTTGAAAAACTAAAAGCAGATTAATGGGAAGCTACAAGGCACTTTTATTTGTTAGCAGGTGGGGTAACTATTGTGATACCACAGAAGTCCCTTGTTGATTTGGCGTAATATAGCTTTTATGTTTGTTCTGAAAGAATAAAATAGACAGGACACTGAGATCTAGAGATGATGCCAAACTGAAGAACTGTCATAGACCAAGGGCATGAAAATAACACGGAAAACATCATAAATACTACCAAGATACAAAATCAGTTTAACTGGCAAAACAGCAGTTTACACATGTTGAGAAAAATAAATCATCAGAATGCAATCCATGAATACAAAGGAGTTATCCAGAAAAGGCAGCAAACATACTGAAATTAGACTGAAACCTCTATATCATATATTCTAGCCCCATTGTATATGCACAAGTATGCTAAACCTGGAAAAAAGCTGAAGGCCGACAATAAATTAGGTGAGCCTTAGAAATAATCTGCACTATGTGTTTGTACAACACCCATCAATAACAGATTTTTGTTCTAGAAGAGTTACTGGAAAGAAAACCGTGATTTTAGCAACGTGTTCCCTAGCATCAGTTTAATTCATTACCATCAATATCAGGTTAGATACCTCATTCCCTGTACAACTGAAATTCCTTTTTAGGAATTTTATGAAGTGCAAGGAATGCAGGACTAGTTCAACAGCACAGCAATTCCAAGCTTCGTCTGCCCATGAACTACACCATGGACCAAGAAAAAGGTATTCTCTCCCTCAGTTGAAACTGATGAGAACACACACACAGATGCCGCATGCTTCACTATCAAAAGCAGGTAAAGAAATGGGGGGAGGAATAAAAGAATCAGACACCTTAATAAACTGATCTAGAGAGAAAGAATTTGAAACAAAAAAACCCAAAACAACCCCAAAAACAAAGGGTTCAGGCCTCCCAACCTCCAATAAATATAGTAATGACTTACAAAGATTTCCAGTTTACAAAGAGAGCTAAAAGAGACTTCAGATATCCCATGAGAAAAAAGGGATGGAACTGTAGAAAGAAAACCCAAACAGAAGCAATGCTATATTCTGTTTTGGGAAGGTTGTTTCTGGAGCCTGCTAGTGCTAATAGCATGTAAATGACAGCCCAGGGTACAGTAGGTATAATAACAATATATTGTTAGTAGTTTTTCTGCTGGATTATTATTCATTGTGGTCACTGTGAGTGTAGGCGACATTCACTGATAAAATTCATTAGATTAGAAATTGCTATCATGAAGAGTTATAACAGGGTAAACAAAGATGGTTGAGCATATCTTTTTTTCCCATTTTTTTATCCTTTTTTATATCTTTCTGATTCCTGAAATGGAATTGCACCTCAACCTGCATTGCCATGGCTTGAAAGCAGCTACATCCATGCTCATTCTACACAAAGAAAGGGTTCCCACTGCTTTTTGCAAGCTACTTCAAGCAGCACGTTACCTACCACATACAACACTTACAATTTTCTCTTGGACAGACAGCTCCACCCCTCATGTGTCTCCCCTTGGCTGTTGACACAAAACCTGATTGTCCCCATTCTCCAAGTCAATGAAAACTGACCTGCAGTAGTCCATCAGTCCCTCTAGTTTCCCAAGGGCTTAAGATCTTTCATAATTTTCCACTTTTCAACAGTCACTCTGGACTTCATGCTGAAAGAATACTGATTTCTGACATAGCGTCACATACACTTACAGTTTAAAAAAAAAAAACAACAAAGAAATAGGAAAAAGTTTCAGTTGTGTATTTTATAACGGTATCTTCTGAACACTTCAGATTGTTCCACAACTCTTTTTCCAGTGTTCCCTACCAGCTTTCTGAGAAGCTTTCTAATTCCCTCAGGACAGCCACCCAGCCAGGCAGATCTGTGCTCACACAACTGCTGGTCATTAGAGGTAGCTGCATCTTTTGGTACTACAAAGACGGCAAATGGTCCTGGTCAGTCTAAGCAAGTGCAGCATGTCCCTTTCAGACTACACAAAAGAAAAAAACTAGATCTTTGCAGGACCCCAAACCAGAACAAACAGATGAGAACAGAACTGAAGAACATTCTCAGCGTAGAGAGATTTCCTGTCCAATGCGAGTTTAGAATTTAGACTTTGCCATTCAGATGTATTTATGCAAACTTACCTTTCAGTATGAGTTAACTACAGCAAAAAATGATTTTGAATAAAAATAAACATGGGAGAAAATTATTCACAAATCATCTTCCAGCTTTGCTTTGAGTTATTAAGCTTAATGCTCACTTTTTCCATTGAATCAAAAAAGGTAAGCTACAGCTTGGCTTGATACATTTGGTTTCCAATTTATCATAGCTCTAATCAGGAATTAATAGTGCTAATTAACATCCCCTTAAGTAATTCAATTTCTTTGATTAGCTATTTTAACTTTATCCAGCTAAATAAATGAAATTTCTGCCATCTTAATTTAACACTTTAAAGTAGAATACATATACAAATCAAATTTACATTGACCTTTTAATGGCACGGAGTCTAACATCCAGCTTTTCATACCAATAGCTCAGATACAATTTTAGACTGCAGGCAGGAAAACAAATGAACACAAAAACTCCAGTGATGTAAACGAGCACATTTCTGGCTCACTGAAAATCAGAAAGTGCCAGTTTTGATCCTAACACTACAGATGCATCCACTTTCGGAAGGATCACTGTTCCCTCCAGGAGTAATGTGAATACAAAGAATATAAAGACTTTAAATATCCTAGTTTTATTCATGACAGAATTACACAGAGAAAGTGTTGCGTGCTGTTGAACTCGTGTCAATACAGGCCTGTTAAAGTGCTGAAGAGCAAATGGTAGAGATAAGGCTATTTAAGGAGATTAAAGCTATCTAAAGAATCTGTGGAAATAATTTCAGCCTTTGCACAACAGTCCTATACTGTTCCTGTTTTCTTTTTGAGGATCTGAACTTCTAAATGGCTACATTCTCAAATGTCCAGGTACAGTTATCAGAAAAAACAGTAATATTTTACTTTTATCTATTAAAATGCCTAATTTTATTTTATGAATTTATTTTAAAATGTTGCACTGTAGTTATCAGTAAAAATTAAGTTTACTATTTTGTGAGTCAGCAAAAATGTGTGCTGGGTTTGAATGTGCTTTGGGATAAAATGCAGCCTAAGCAATAAATAATAATCTGCTAATTCTACCTGTACACATATTACATTAAACGAAATGAAGCACATAAGAAAGCAGATGAAAGAAAAGAGGTTTATAAATACCATGACTGTTGCATCGTGATGTTTCCACAAGTCGATTGTTTTGGTCGTAGCATGCCATGGCCTGGTAACGATAGCCTTGTCCACATTCCTTGATGTCTCCTTGTACCTTCATTCCCAGCAATACTTCCAGCTTGCCCTCTGGTAAAATACAGTCTGACCAGTTTCCCACAGGCTGAGCACTGTACTTGTCACATGGACAAAACTGATTCTCAATCAGAGGATACAACTGAGAATTTTTGCATTTATCTCTTTTCTTACTTTTTCCTACAAAGAAGAAATAATTATTTTAGAAAGTTTGTAACAGTTTACACCTCCAAAAAAATTGCATTTAGACATCTATAACAAGTGCTTGCAATCAAACACATATGCATAAACCTAGTTACATTAATCTTTATTCATTTAGGTTAATTACTTGAATTTCTAAAGTAATGAATGGCTACAGTCTGCACCAAGGCAACATATTTTGAAATAAAGCCATGTATTTATATTTACCTTGGATAAAAGTGCTTGGGGGGTACAGTTTGAAAAAGGTAGCAATTACACAAATCTACTTTTTTTTTTCCCTATTTTATCAGCAGTAAGCAGTCCAATAAAAAAAAAATTCTCTCTGGTTAAAACTGTCTAAAGTTGAAGGAAATTGCAGAAGTAACATGCACCTTTGCTATAGCAGTACCTCCTTTCAAAATGTCAAAATCCTTTCATTTCATCACCTGTTATCGTACATCTGTTGAGAATTACCATTCTTCCCCTCTAATGGAATAAGCACCTTTTATGATTCTGTGTTTCTTCTCAAATCTTTTCTAGTTCGTTTTCCTTCCCCAACTGGAGTGAAGCCATTCACTCACCTTCCACTTCCCATTAAATCTATTTTTAATCTTCTCTTTGGTAAAGTTTGCTCGGTGTTTCTTTCCATATTAGATGGCTCATACATATTAATGTAGAAGTCTTTGCAAAAATAGTTTTAAAAATTCTTTTTACTTAGATACTACTGTAAATTAATATTCTGTTGTATTTTACTTGCTATTCAAAACAAAGCAATGAACATAACTTTGCAGCACCCTTGGTGCTTATATTTACTACTGCCTTCATTTAGAATAGAAAGAAGGTACCGAAAGAAAAGTTAACCTTTCTTTTGAAAACACAATTTCATACTAAAAATGCACTTCTCCTCCTCATTTTCACCATAAATAATTATAAATTCATTCCAAGTCAGCTTTACGTGTCAGCCTGGGTAGCACATTGCCGCAGAGAATACACTACAGCATACATGATAGCCTCAGCAAGTTTGAAGGGGTAACTTCACTCAGGACAGGAAAGCATCTCAAAGTGTTAACAGTGTGGTAAAAGAATCTGTTCTTTGTTGCTTTGTTTTTAAAACAAAAAAGATTGTTAGTCAGGGTTTTTTTCCCTTGGGGAAGCAACCCTGGCATAAAGTTCACTGAAGTTATGAGACAGTCACAGTGAGCCTTCTTGAAGATCATGAATTATTCACTGCCACAGGTTTTCTGATTTACAGGGGGATGGAGCAGAGGATAGGGTTTGGATCCTATCACATTCTTTGTGAGGCTGCTAATGGGCACCCCTCTTAGCTAGCCTTCCTCCACCACAGACAATACAGACTAATTGGCAAACAGTGCTGTGACAGAGGCCAAGTCTCACTCTCGAGGTTTCAGTTATAATTTAGAAGCAGACCATGTTTTTTTTCTATTCATTTCATGCAGAAGAAATAAAACAGATTAAAAAGAAGTTGAAGAAAAAATGTTTCAAAGTGAAAGGTTGTCCATTATGTGGACCAAGGAAAAGTTTGCAGCAAAGGGTTGGGTATCACTGGAAAAACTTTTTATTCTGTTAACAAAAACCTCAAGAGTTTTCAAGGGACACAAAGTAACAGAGCATCACAAGACTGAGAAAGGCTCTACCTAATGAAGAGGAAAATCACCCACAAAAGATAATTCTTAGTTGTGTCAGGAAATATGGCAGAAAATTAAGCAACATATTGTCTCATGCAGTGATCTGAGCTGCTGGGTGAAGGCAATGGAAGAATGGACAACAGAAAGAAGTTGGAGAGCATATATTCAGCTGGAGAAAGGACTGGCTTAATCATAAATATGACATTCCAGACTGCAGCTGAGAAGTTCAAAAAAGGTAAACCAAAGCTTAAGGCTGAAAAGCACTCAGCTGCTGTAGTATTTCTAATGCATGAAAACACCATCCGAGAGGGAAGTCCTGGTGTAGCCAAGAGCAGAAGTAGGAAAAGGAATGTGAGTGGGTTAACACCTGAACCTGTTAAGGGGAGATGATTGTTGATTTGTCTGCCACCAATTTAAAAAAAATAAAAATAAAATCCACTTTCACCTGATTTTCTATTAAAAGGTTTTCTATTGGAAGCTCCAGGGGAATTTCAGCAAGACTTTTTTTTTCCTAATTACAGTTCAGTGTAATAAAAACAAAACCAAACCAATTGAATCTGATGAGAATTCAGTCTGGTTAGGCAATACTGGCGAGATACAACTTGTGCATGGAATCATGGTTGCCGAGGAATCAAAAAAAAAATTGTGGACCGCTCTCTAAACTGAGAAACTGCACATAAACCAAGAAAATGCAAATTATTAATCAGGTCTGTGGCCACTCTCATTTTCATTATCAGTTTTCCAAATCTAGTTTCTTATCTTAATAAAATTAAACTTTCTTAACCTTGTTTGGGACTAAAAGTGATTTGAGTGATGTGAAGAGTTTTCCTTCTGCAGAACAAAGCAAAGTTCTTCTGGACTTCCCTGAGTGCCTCACACTACCCACACCATGCTGAAGAGCTGAAGGTCTGTGGTTTTTCACACCATTGAGCCAATCAGTGAGAGTTTGTGAGTTATATCCTTTTTAAAATTGACTAAATTTTCCAACATCTGCCTGAAAACCATCAGTCAAATAAAGTTTTAGCAAAGACAAACCAAAAAGAACCTCTTGAAAAAATATTTTCATATTTTAAGCTGTAACTCAGATAAACTTCTTCAGAGAGTGTCACCACAAAGGTCTGTTTCTTCTGTTTGTTGAATGCTTAGCACAAACAGACAATCTCAAGGCCATAATTCTGTACAAGTGACAAACCATAAAGCAGCAACCTTCCTGACCTCTGTGCACAGAAACAGGCTGCAGAATCAGGATTTGGAATAAACATAGTATGAAAACCTTTTAAATAGCAAACTTTTGTGCACCTTTTGGTGAAAGATAACACAGGGTTCAACAAAACTGCAGGTAAAGTCTTTTTGTTTTATTTTCTCAGACTGGATCAGACTGTTAGTTAATTATGCCGCTTTATATTTTTCACCTCCCTGGAACTACAGCCAATGCTGACTTGCCTGTCATAAAAAAAAATGTTCTGCTTTGCTGTTTACTATGTGCGCTCCATTTAGAAGAAACCTTGGCCTCCTCTGTTCTCCCATCTTCTCTTTAGCCACTTCCCCACGATCAAGAGTCTGACACATATGGCAGGAGTTTGCTCTCCTGAGGGGTTCTTTTTTTGTTCCACCAACAGTATCTAGAGCATGACAGTGACATTGGGTCTGCTTTCTGCCACAATGACAAACATCACTTGCTTGTTGCAGGGGAACCTCAGAACAACACAGGTTTTAGTCAAAACAGTAGCAATAATTAATAAAAGATGTATTATTTTCCTTGTTACTCTTACCGACAAGAGTGCGTTTTCTCGTCCTGACTCCTCCACATTCCCCATTACAGGAAGAAAACTTTGACCAGTTTGTAAACTGACAGTCATCTTGGCAGGGAATCTGGCACGTCTGTGTTAAGGATGGTAATGGGCCAGAGTATTTAAGGCACTCACTGATGTCAGCCTGCCCTCCGTCTTGTCTGCGACAAGTAATTGCTGGAAGCAAAAAGGGATGGAGTTTAACTGAGCAGTTTTTTCATGAGTGTCTCCATTCAATTTAGTAAGTCTGCAATATTCTACTGCAAAATCACACTGAAAGCCCAGAATAGCTATACAACAACCTAATATTTGCAATCATTTATATCTTGAATGAATATATTTAACATTTCTGACTTTTTTTGAGATTCTGTTTAAATTTCTATTCACCAGGACATACCAGGTAAAAAAAACAAAATCTTACAGACAACCGTAAATATTATAAAGGTTGCACCATATTATTCACACCTATTATACCATTTTCACATTATAATTTTTCCTACAGATACAGCCTATAAGTCAGACATTAAAAAACTTGCAATGAATGCCATTTTAAGTAGCTGAATACTGTATAACGTTGTATCAACAGCATATATTTCAGAAAAAGGGACAGATAAAATTTAGAAACGTATTTGAGTTCCATATACCACTTAACCACCCACAACAGTATTGCTGCCTGATGTTCTTCAGCAATTTTTAGTCTTCTAAAAGGTTGAGGAACAAACCATGTTTGCTAGGGATGGATTATCAGCCGATAGGTGTACAACATTCTATAACAGGATAGCCATATGCTAAATAAAAACTTCTTACTTATAAGAAAGAAAATAGTTTCTTAAGAAAACTTCAGGTGGCATAAAAGGAAGAATTCGGAGCACAACAACAGGGCCGTTTCATTAATATAGTCCTTAACAATGCTCTATTATTGTTCCACATGGATATTTGTTTTTTAACATGGTTGCTTATCTCTTATTCTAACCTAAGCCTCGGTAAATCTCATTTTATTTCCTTGTCCAAAACAACATAAAACTTATTACACAGTAACAAGGTCGGAAACTTCTAGTTGTTTGTTTACACAATAGAATCATATTTATGCTTCATGGCACCTGACAGCACGTAGTACATGCAGTATCACATAATGACTGTGAAAGTAATTTGTGTCACCAATTGTTGCAGTACCATTGCATCCAAACACAATATAACATTCTGTATACATATGAAGGAATATCATGTTTTATATTACACTTACTCCATAATTTAAGCACTTCAATTGTACTGACAATAACTATTTTAGTGGTATGTGAATAGAAAAAAAATGTAAATTTTACTATCCAAACTATTATGCCATAATCAAGTTCAACTGTTGGAGAAAAATGGTGTTTGAATGCAAAGTTTCAAAATAAAACATAAAACTGCCTATGAGGGAATACGTCATCCTGGAGGAAGAAAGAAGAATACTTGAGGAAACGTTTTTTTTCTTAGAATATTGTAAAGTAATTGTCAGGGTTTAGTGACCTATGACTTCTGAAAAAAACTTTTTTGTCTGACGGTTCTAAACTAAATTTCTACCTCATGATGACTGTAGGAAGCTGAACCCAATGACCCACATGGTCCACTTCAAGCCCGTGTGCCTACTAAAACATAACCAGAGATCCCAAGTGAATTGTTTTTGCCATACATCTGTAGTAAAACACTGTGAAAGGGAGGAGGGTTTGTTTTTCCAGAGATGCTAAGCAAATTACTTCCTTGATCCTTGACCGACCTTGGAGCAGGGCTGCCATCACTGTTTGTAATAGGCTCACTACTGCATGAAGTTGTGCTTATTCTGGGACTCACTAGCTGCAAATTGTCTAATACAATTCTTCTGTCAAATCCTATTATTGGTGTAGCTTACATGATTAAACCCTTTTGTCTTCAGATATAATTATAGCAATTCAACAAGCAAAATCAAATGTCTAAAAATTGAAAATCCATACAGCCACTTTAAGCATGTGTTAACTGTGCCTACTATAGGATTTCTAAAATCACACAAGTATTTTGGAAAAACACAAGTCATAAAAGTATCTTCCAATACAAGCCTAGGCTATGTTTTTGGATTCTTGTAAGACACTCTGCTAATAAAAGACATCAGTTTCCCCGAGGTACAAAATACAGTTGAGACTAGTTCTAGCATGTGGAAATTCACAGAGGTCAAACCTAAATCCTCTGTCTTGAGTTTGACCTTGGCATGTGAATGCATCAGCAAAACTAATTGCATTTCTTCACTGTGTTCTCAGAGAGATACAGGCGATGTTTTTTAGCACTGAAAACTATACCTAGCCAAGGGCTAAAAGACTGTCCACTGATTAACTCAATAACTTTTAATAGCCTTCTTCAAAAGTTTAATATCCATTTTAGATACTGCCTCTCCCATCTAGTCCTTTGTCAGGCCATAAACACTGTCCATTGAAGCACATTTTTTTCTTTCTAGCTAAATTGAGTTTTTCTAAAGCCAATATCCAATCCCTCATCTTTCTCGGTTATTAAACATTACTCCATGGGCTGATATCAACGCTGGCATAAATTTTTTCAGACTCATATTAGTGCATCTAATTTACATCAAGCAGACCCAGGTGAGAAGCTCCCCTGAGGATTAACACTTTGGTATTTTTCAAGATTAATTGTCAGTTGTACTGTAGGAATCAAAGCAGGAAAATTTCATTCCTGAGACCTAAATATTTCACCTTAATAACCACACAAATTAGAGGACAGCTTGGCATACTAAATCAATTCCTGAATCTTAATTATCATAGTGCCTGTCCATAACTATTCATGTTGCTTCTAGTTGACAAGACCTGGATGATTCACTCTATATTCCATTTTCCTATTGTTATTCTACAGATTCAAGTATCAATTTGAAAGGTTTATACTCCTTGTGACTGTTGAAGAGTGGGTATTTTTCCATTACACAAAGCAGGGATTTTGATGACTGTATACATTCCGTTAATACATTATTGTGGCCATTTGACATCTGAAATGCTCTTACTGTTAGTGGAGTTACTTTTTCTACTCACAACCTAACTTGGGCAAACACGTCCCCTACTTCTCTGATCAAAGCCATGGTTCTTTAATTCTATTCTGTAAAAGACATTGGGATTGATGATTAACTCACTATACAGAGAAGTGTCTTCAACTACTATAAAGTCATGCAGTGCCAGACTAATTATTTTACCTATACAGTCACGTTATATTTATTACAGACTTTAGCAGTAAGCGGAAAAAGCACGGTTCTTCTATTACTGAATTAAGCCCAAGTAATTGTAAGTGAAAACATAAAACAGGAGTACGGCTAACAGAAAAATCAAATTTAACATGGAAACCATTAATTTACAAAATTGTTCTGGTATTTAACAATTATTATCTCCCAGAAGAAAGGTGTGAAATAAATGATAGTCTAAATTTTCTAGACAATGGACTTCGATGTAATTAACACTTTATCTGATAGCATTGTTTCCACCAAGCGACAGGGGACCTCAGGCAAATATATTTATTGCTGGTGTAGCAAAACACTAAGACTGTACTTTAACAAGTCTTGCTGTGTGTAGGTCTATACAAAAACCTTGCCAGTGTTACCATCATTAGTATACTTCACTGTGATTTCACTGTGAGATTCAGTGACCTCTACAATCAAAAATTAAAGTATTTTATAAATGAAGGTGTTCGATGTACTTTGTTTTACAACACACTTGTGATAATATTTTTTAAACTGTTCAGTATTTTTAACTACAAAAAATTCTGTTTCTTTTCTAGAAAGGCAAGAACTATTTCAGCACACTAACTCTTCTTACTCTTCCTGTCAATGCTGTCTCTTTTTCTGTGAGTCACAGCAGACTAGACACTGCATGACGAAATGTTCCTATCATGTAGTATCCTAAGCAGGAGCATGTGTGAATAATACTGGGAAAATATAAGCCTGAGCATTCTTTACATGCCAAAGAGAAAAACAATGTGTTTCTGCTGAATAAAGTTGTCTGAGGATTTTAGCTCCTGTTTTGTCAATTAAAACTTACTTTGTCACATAAATACTGCTCTTGAGCACTGTTGTCCAAATTCTTACTTCAGTACAAAACCTGAAGTTGTCCTTTGCCATGACTATAATAAGAACCAGGCAATAGGGCACTCTCATCTGTTAAGTCTCGATGATGCTAAAATATTAGTTCATAGCTCCATGAAGGAGCAGCTCTGCTTCATGATTTTGTCTCATTTCTTGTGCTTTCAACGAGGGCATGGAACCCCCACAAGAACAAATCTCGCACCCCCATAAGTGATGCCCAGACAGGGAGGCTGCTGTCCCTGCTTAGCCACAGAGAAAGGAAAGGGCTTTTGACCACTGGTTCTGCCCCCGAGCCTCCCCGCGGCTCACACCAGCCTGCAAGGCCTCCTCGTGTGCTCACAGCCATCCTGGGAAGCTTCCTCCGACTCCCCTGCCCTGCTGCCTTTCAAATAACTCTATATACACCCTGCGAATGAAGAAAAGCAAGAGCTGGGGATCAGCTCTTTAATAATGGCCAGTTCCCAGCGACAACAAATACAGCTATTCAGATATTTTCTCTGACAGCCAGGTTACTTCATCTTCTGTTTAAATTTTACAAATAACCTTCCTCTTGCTATTAAAGAATATGTTGACAGATTTCACAGTTTCCATCCCATTCCTCCTACAAAACTCTGAGGAAGATTTATGGTGGGAAGGACTGCAGGCTGTGCATCTTTTTGCAAATCTCTTTTCGGTCACTGGGATAGCCCTTATCATGTGCATCCATCCATATACATCATGATGTGATTAGGCTATTGGGCACTCGAGCTTCTCATCTGCTACATGTCCTCTTCACTAGCGTTGGGGTGCTGTCCAACAAGCCCTACTTAAATCTGCAGAAGCTACTGGCAAAACAAGCCTTTTTAGTAAGTTTGCTAGGCTTTCCAACACAGTTCAAAAGGGATTTGAACTCTCTAAGTTCCTTCGGAATTCACTAGATCTGAGGTTTACTGACACAGACTTTTTTAAGGCATGATCATAACATAACACAAACTGTTGTTCACAGTTTCAAACTTCATGTGTTAATCTATCTCACTGAGCAGACCGCTACTTTGAAGTTATCTATGTGCTAATAAATGTCAGCATTGAGAATACAAAGTAGTATCTCTTGGCACACCCTAGCCAAAGCACCTTCCTCTTACAGTGAGTTTTATAGCCCACATCCCCATCAAACATGAGTAGCTTGCCATTATCAAGCATTTACTCTCTTGTTCCAGTTTTTGGGGTTCGTTTTGCATTTCATATTTGCCAACACTCTGTGCCTCTCCCTCCTGGGTTTCAGGTGACTTGTCAAGACAGCATGTAAGTTTACTATTGTGAACTGAGAAACAGCTTATGAAAATAATCACATCATAACTGCTGTTACAGTAAAATATGGCTTTCCTCTACATTTCCTGTTCTGTCAGATAGAGTCAAAAGGAATTTTCAAACTCCCTGTTGATGCACCCATATTATCACCTCTCGAGGGTTTTGAACAAGAGACACATAGAAGCCTTAAGTTACTGCAATTCTATAATACATTCTATAATACAATTTGCAGCTCAGGTACTAAATGCTACATTAATATTCTTAGATTTAGGTATAAACACCTGTCCATCATTTGCAAGAATAATTAACAAACTTTTTCTTTTAAAAATTCTGGAAAAATACCCTGTTCTTCAAACAAAACAAAAAGACAACCAAATCCTTTTATTCTTTTTCCTCTGCATTGACCCAAGTTCTAATTTTGTGACATGTTCATTTAAACTGACATGATTTGCAACAAAACCTTCATTATACAAGACAGCCAGAAACAGAGCTGTCTTTAACAATGAATCACAATTGTAAACCTTATGATTCACCCAAGTATCTCTTCTGCCAAGGAAGACCAATGTGATAAAAAAGCTAAAGAACAGAAATGTAAATAGTAAAGCTGTGATATAAAGCAAGGCATGCATATGCTCTAGTTACTCACAGAATCTTAAGATCAGACACCTAACCAGTCATTTTTAATGATTTCTAACTTCTAGATTTCTCCTTCAGATTTCACTATCTAAGTAAAATACGAACAGTGCAGACTATGTTGTTCAAAATAAACCACTAACGAATGCATAGTCAGATATGCTTTTTCCCTGGTGTACATTCCTTCTCTTTCTTATTTAACACACTTGCTGATATGTTACATGTTACAGTGTGCGTAGGCAGTTAGATCAGAAATAGGACAAACTAATAGCAATGGCAACATCCCCTTACACTGAAAAAGAGGAACTGAGAACTGTTCTCACATACAAGAATGCAATTACTTGCTTTACTAAGTATTGACACAAAATGAAAGGATCATCCACAGGAAACCAAAGGGCTGAAATTACTTCTATAAGATTATAGTTTCACTTTGACATCAAAAATAAATTACTACGAACAGATGAATGAATGTGTGATTTCTGGATTCATGAGGATCAGAAATTTGAGAGATAACTCTTTTTCAATTGAAAAAGAAATGCTGCTATGTCTACTTTTTCACAGTATGGTAAACATTTGTACAGAAATCACCAAAACCCAGTTAAATTATCCGTTCAAAATATCTTTGTTCCAGTATCACATTATAAATGCAGTATCAGAATTTGTACCAAGTGGATTTCATACTTCACTGTTTAGCATTTCCTGATTTTGGAGTGGTTAAAAGGACTTGCGCAGTAGTAGTTCAGTCTTTTCTGTATCTGCATCACAAAATTATCTTTAAATAAATAATTTTTAATACAGTACTTTTAATAACATATTTTCATGCAAAGTTTTCCGTAGCCCGTAGAAACTTTATTTATGACAAGCCAAGTATGCAAGAGGAAGCCAAGAATTAGCCGGGAGAGGGGACAAACCCTCTTCCATAGTCTTCCTTCAGAAACTGGTGAAATCTTTCTAATACTGTTCAGGGCAGAGCTCAGTCAGCCAGATGCTTCCTTTCAGGTCAGCCAATCTTCAGTGAGCACCTTGCACAAAATCAGCTCTCATGCAGGGGACCAAACAAAATCACGTGCACCATTGAAAATTCACACACAGCTATTTTCATGGCAGAATTTGAAATGTAAGAGGGGAAAAGGAACATGTTAATGCGCTGTGTGGGACATAACCTATCTAAAACAAATAAAACACACCATCCCTGTTCACAATGTAATTTTCTGAGGTGTGAAGTAAATAAAACCTCAACCAATAATCTCTAGAATTGCAGAAGTTTGTTTTCCAAAGTGAAAGTTACTTCTGTGCAAAAAAATCAGCTATTACTTCCAAGTCATATTCATTGTAAAGGTGTTCAAGAAAACAGAAAATATTTTACTTTTCTCAATCTAAAAAAAAAGCTGTACTAGTTTATTTAGCTCCTACAGAATATCAGTTTACATTGCTGAACACAATTGTAGAAGATATATTCAACACATTGTCAAGTATTAAAATACTGAGACATGATACATAACATACCTGTGTTCAAAACTTACACTTTATGTTAATTTACATAATTTACATTGTTAGGATAAATGTTGGGCCAAAAGAGGCTCTGTCTTTAATATCTCTGTAACTTTCACCACTGCAACAGGCTAGACAATATTTAGATTTGTGTTTAGATACTTGTACTGAGGCACTAATAATATTTGGTTATCCAACTTCACTAACTTTCTCTGTGAGTTCTACATTTATACATTGGACAGACTTCATAAAAAGCAAGGGCAAACAAAATCTCCCCTTTCTAACAGTCGATCTGAGAAACATTTACAGAACTGTACAAAAACCACCCACTTTCTTTAGGCTTCGCTGCTCCCAGGGTTCTTAATTAATGATTGCTCATCCTACCACTTGACCACATTACACTAGAGAGCTACTTCCACTATATCCGCTTGTAGGAACAAGACTACTGCTTGAATAAATCATCCTTTGCAAGATCAAACTCTGTCTAGTACCAAAGGGAAATTCTGACAATCAACTTTAACAGATTTGAAAACTGTATGGCCAGTAATTCCAAAATAATGTATTATTCTGCATGTGTGTGTACTGCACATGACTGAAATCGCAGTTTAAAAAAAGGACACACAAGAATAATAAAAAACAATTTACATGCAGTACAGTTAGCCATCTTTCTTTGTTAAATGACTTTGAGGCAAAGTCAAGAGATTTAGGTACTACCATGCAAGCACAGAAGACAATATTTTGTATTATCTGAACTCCCACCATCAAAGACAGAAATCTTATTTTCTCAGTATGTAAACTGAATGTATCCTCCAGAGCTGCTGGAAATAGACTGCATTACTAATAGACCTTCGAAAGAATTACCACAGCCAGAAGTCTTTTGTATTAGCAGGCAACACCTTCAGGTTTCATTTTGTGGTAAGCCCTAAACTGACCTGTAACACTTTCTGAGTAAGTGGTAGGAGTTACTAGCTTAAGATTTATTCTGTGACTTTCTGAAGTATACCATAACCTGCTCTAATATGACCAGAACATTTCACCTCTCCAGTTAGCAGTGTCCTTGCTCAGGAATTCCACAATCTGCTGAGCCAATATTGTTTTAATGGATAAGAGTTTGCACTCAGAAAAGGCAAAAGAAAAAAACCTTTCTGGAATTCAGAGTTGACTAGTAGTTCCAAGTAATTCAACTACAGTAAATAGGAATTGCAATTATTTTGATACCGAATTTATTTCAGGCATCTAAAAAACCATCTCCTGACTACACTTACCAGAGTCACACATACACAATTTTGTTACATCCACAAAACTCTCTGTGAAGACAGGTGACAGTAAAGCCGGATAGGGATGCTAAAATTATTTGTTATCAAATGGAAATGGTGGAAAAATGTTTGAATCACAGGGTTTGAAGTGTCAGTCATTTTGATATCCAGCCAGAAGCTGGTTAAGACCACTGCATCTCAGTGGTTTATTCCAGGGCCAATTCTGTTTATCATCTTTAACAACGTGTACAGAAAGTATCCTCCGCCAATTTGGAGACAACACCACTCTGAGAGGAGAAGTCAGTACCTACCTGGAGGGTAAGGCTGTCATTCAGGGAACCTTGACAGCCTGGTGAAATGAGCTGGCATTGAATTTTGGCAGTGTAAATGCAAAGTCCTGCACCTCTCATGCTCCCATTGCTCTCTACAACTACCTAGTTCGAGGGTATAGAGAAGAGAGAGCCAGCCTGTTTTCAGATATTTATAGTGAAAGGATAAGGGGGCACAGAAACAAACTGCAGCAAGGGAAATTTCAGCTTAGATACTAGGGAAAAAAAAAAGTGCAGTGTTAGACTGAACAAGCACCAGAGCAAATGCCTAGAGAGGCTTCATATCTCCATCCTGGGAGATACTCCAAACATGCTGAGACATGGCCCTGAGCAATCTGCTGTAGTCTGGGTGGGATCCAACTTTGAAACTGGCCTTGCTCTGGGTGGAAGGTTGGACCAAGGGACCTCCAGACCAACTGAAAATTATTGTAGGGTTCTCTGATCCTAAATTTTCAAACAAACACATAAAAAAAGTCTTCTATTTGGTCTAATGTATATAGCCATGAACATGTCTTTACATCCTCACCACATAAAAAATGTCATATTTTCACAGGTGAATTTACACAATCTTTTTCACAACAAGAAGCATGTAAAGTCATCCACTGCTTTCTTTTTTCTTTTTCAAAACATACTTTCCACAAACACCTCTGCAAACTTGCTTCAGGTAAGGATGGTGAAATAAACTGAACAAACAATACCAAAAATTAGTCACTAACGTGGTATCTATACTTAAAAATATAAAAATATAGTGTGGTAAATGGGATAAAATGGTAACTATACTTAAAAATATATTATGAATAAATATTTGCTAACTACCAGTTAGGATGCACCCTACCATACTAGCATTCAGTATTTTCCTTTGCTGATGCACATAAAGATAGATAAAATTAATATTAGGTTACAATGACTAAAATTTTAGGCATTTCCCACACCAGTGCAGCCATAGATTTCTGAGGAATAAATGACAGAAACACAGGGTCTAACCTCTTGCTTGTAACCCAGGTCCACAAGTCTCATGTGCTCCTGGACTGTCTTGGCGCACATACCATGGTACTAGCTGGCACCTGCGCCACTTGTGGGTCTTCCACCTGAAATGAGCGGGGAAGCAATCAACTTCAAACAATCCATCTACACTTGTAGCAATCAAAAGTGAGGCAGCACAAGAGCTAGATGGTATTAGAAATCACCATAAGCTATTGCATATTATTATTAACTGGTCACAGCCAATTAATAACAAACAGTAACAATACCGTAAACTTTTCCTTCTTTCCTGTTAACTGTTTTTTTCCTTTTTGGATTAGACCATCAAGAACACAGGAAAGGAAGGACGAGGTGGAGGAGGGAAAAGAAATCACACCATATATATTTTCAAAGATTTCAAAGTACAAAGGTACGTAACGCTACCTAACAAATACAAGGTGAATACAAACCACAATATGAGGATTATACATCAATACAAAACATTAATAAACTTATACAAGATGTGAGAAAGAAATTTCAGAAAACAATACTATACAAAATAAGAACATGATGTGACTTGAATACCCCTTTACCAGAAGAACTCCTTTGCTATGTATTTACATCTGAGTGTTCTCGAAGTATTTTACCAGTCAACAAAATGACATGATAAAAATTGAAAAGTGGATTTAGCCAAGTGACACTAACATCTCATAATAACAACGTGGACCCATTAAATAAGGAATGGTTTTAAATACTAGTACGCCCATATAAACCTCCTTGCTTTCTCACTTTCCCTTCCTTCTTTTCTTTTTTCCACCTCAGTGAAGCAAAGATATGTTGAAGTTTCCCAAATACCCTCCAGAGATAAGACTCCAGGGTTGATTTCTGGTTCACGCAGTACTGGGAGTGTCTTTTGGCAGTAAATACTGTAACATATAAATGTTAGTGCATTTCTTTCTCTTTTCCTTCTTTCCTCTTCCCCAGGTCTTTTCTTCCACTCCCTTAGGCATGCCTTGCAACAAAACAACAACAAATGGAACAATTCTGCCTTGCTTGAAGCACAGACAAGCCTTGGAGTTACAAAGATGAGGACAGATGAGAAAAGTCTCAAGATTTTTTTTTCTCAAATTTCAAATGATGTGATTACAAGAGCAAAGTTTTCACAACAAATTCCTTTGCTAAGCTTTGTCTTCCAAACACGATCCCCAAATGGGAAACTGGACCCCAGGTCCAGCAAAGCATTGGGACAGTGGGTTTAAATGACTGTGAGGGTGCCTCAGGCAATCCCAGAGCACCTGGGGTCTTGGGTACCTGAATGGCAGCACCTTGCACAAGTGGAGCCAACCAAGAGATCCAATGCAATGTGAATATGAGCTCAGACAATATGAAAATAAATCACAGACAAAAAAACTTGCAAAAAACCTTGATAAGAAATGCAATATTGTGCTGCTTAAATTATTCTATCACAAATATAAACTGCTACGAAATTTTTACACAGTTCCCTTCTAGTGCTGCAGAATACCCTAGGACTTAAATATAACAAATCAAGGCAAGTCTGGTTATTGTTACATCACTGACATAATCCACAGTTGTCTGAATTACTCAGAGTGGGGGGAAACAAATGCTATGTCTACAGCTCAAATCATCAGCTGCTCTCATGTTTAAAATTATCTCAATGTTTTTGCACCTCCAGTTTCATTGTAACTGCCTCTGCAGGCCAGTATTTAAACTACGGCACAGGCCAAGCTGAGCGTGTGAGCCCACCTGTCACAGCACATGTATAGATCAGAAAGACGCTAAAGGAAATATACAAAAAAAGTTTTTAGAATTAGTTTGCATCAAAAACTTTAAATCACCTCGTCTACCACTCCCTAGCAACTCTGCTTCTGCTCAGCACATCCTCATGTACTAGCTCAGGTAACATTTGATACTGATGATACTAAAGAGATGAGGACCAGCCTTCTAAAAGATAAAACTCTGATTCTGGTATTGATTAGAAAAAGTTCTGAAGCTGTATTTCTCTCATGTGAAGAGTACTCATTTTGGTAGCTTCCCAACGCTGTTTCACATCCTTTCATATCTTTCACTTATATAGTGTGATCTCCTAATGAATTTACAAAGATAATTCTTACCACATGATAAAAGCAACACAATTCTTTAATCTCAATTTGTTTTGGCTAAAATAAGCTTAAAATCTATTTGCACCACTGCAAAAAGTTTAATGGGAACTAGCAGGTGTTCCTCTCTAACCACTGGAGCAACAGAACACTGGTTTCCAATGCTCACATATTTATTACTCATTAAGAAAATCTTTTTTTTTTTTTATTTGTGTCACGTAAATCCAATGAACTGCATCAGAATTTTCCGAACTTCTCCTGTATCAACAGCTGGATCTTGACATTTATCTAGACTTTCCCATGCCACTCAGACAGATACCACAAAACTGCCCAAAAATTTTCTTAAGCAGTTATAGAACCATAGGATGCTTTGGGTTGGAAGGGACATCTAGAGGTCATCTAGTCCAACCCCCCCGCAGTGACCAGGGACGTCTTCAACTAGACCAGGTTGCTCAGAGCCCCATCCAACCTGGCCTTGAATGCTTCCAGGAATGGGGCCTCCACTGCCTCTCTGGGCAATCTGTTCCAGTGTTTTACCACCCTTATTGCAAAAAATTTCTTCCTTATATCTAGTCTAAATCTCCCCTCCCTTCGTTTAAAGCCATTACTCCTTGTCCTATCGCTACAAGCCCTACTGAAAATATTTTCCCCATCTTCCCTACAGGCCCCCTTCAGGTACTGAAAGGCTGGTCTAAGTTCTCCCCACAGCCTTCTCTTCTCCAGGCTGAACAGCCCCAACTCCCTCAGCCTTTCCTCACAGGAGAGGTCTTCCAGTCCTCAGATCATCTTTGTGGATCTCCTCTGGACCCGCTCCAACAGTTCCATGTCCTTCTTGTGCTGAGGGCTCCAGAGCCGGATGCAGGACTCCAGATGGAGTCTCACCAGAGCAGAGCAGAGGGGCAGAATCCCCTCCCTCAACCTGCTGGCCCCGCTTCTTTTGGTGCAGCCCAGGATACAGCTGGCCTTCTGGGCTGCGAGTGCACGTTGTCGGGTCATGTCCAGCTTTTCATCCCCCAGTCCTCCCAAATCCTTCTCAGCAGGGCTGCTCTCAAGTCCTTCATCCCCCAGCCTCTACTGATACTGGGGGTTGCCCCAACCCATGTGCAGGACCTTGCACTTGACCTTGTTGAACCTCATGAGGTTCACACGGGCCCATTTCTGAAGTTTGTCCAGGTCCCTCTGGATGGCATCCCGTCCTTCTGGTGTGTCAACTACATCACTCAGCTTGGTGTCATCTGCAAAGTTGCTAAGGGTGCACTCGATCTCGCTAAGTCATTGATGAAAATATTAAACAGCACTGGTCCCAGTACGGACCCCTGAGGGACAACACCACATGGTGGAGATCCCCACCTGTTGGAACAGTCCTCAGCGTTCTCTGGTGAAGATTAGGTCAACACAGAGAATTTTGTACTTCAGGCCATATACTAATTGTGGACTGTCTCAGGACTGATGGGGATGGAAAGATGGAGGATACAGTGCCTGGCACAGTGTGGCAGCAGAACACAGCTCTCCTAAACAGACAAGGCTGCATTTCAGTGCTTTGGGTAATTCAGAAAGAAATATTTTTTTAATTGTATAGAATTTCAAAATGGTTGCTAAGAAAGATGGAAAGTAATTCTTAAGTAGTTGCAAAGTTCCTGCAAAGGAACTGGAACAAAATGAACTAGTGATTCACCACAGGCCCAGCTGAGTCTACCTATCTGTTTTGAAACCTTGATTTAGGTATGTATCCTATTTTTCTTAAGAAGTGGAGTTCAACAAGCTTTTGAGGCAGTACAAGTTGAAAAATCGTGTCTGAGATGTCTCTGGTTGATTTAGACTACCTGTAGCTATAGCAGACGGGAGAAGCTTCACATTCCTTTTCCTCAAACAAGGATTCCGGGCACTCATGACCACCATTGGCGGGGAGCTGGATGATGACTCGGTGACGGGACTGTTTCTTTACTGTGACACCTTCTGCAAAGAGTAGAAAAGCTTGTTTCTCCTGCTACTACTTAGAGATGACAGTAATTAGGGAGAAAATAAGACTTAACATAACAGGTATTTGAGTTGATTGTTATAGTAGTGACATGCTATTTTGTCCACAAGCAGAAAATTAAGCCAAATAGACAAAACACTTGAATCTCAGCTAAAGGCCAGGAAGCAGAGCTAAACAGAAAGAAATAGTAGCAATAGTACAAATGAATCTACAGCTGAAGTGAACACACAGTTCAAGTGAACAAAAATTAAACCAGCTCAGTTTGCTGCTACACTTTACAATTTCAAAGTATAAATTTGCCCTAATCATTTGTGTGCAAAACCAGAAACTGAGATTAATGAAAAGAAATTATTATATTTCACATTTTTTTTCATTCAGTAAATGACTCAATTAGAAAATCTTCTTGCCTTTTGCTTATCTCCACAGTGAGAAACATAGCAAATTTAATTTACAGTCTTTGTTCTCTCCAGGCCAGGCTTGAATTCTGCTTCCTATACCCTCATTTCCTACCTGGGACTAGCATTACCCCATCTAGATACATGAAAAATATTCCAAAAGAGCATGCTTTACATTTAAATGTGAAGCTTTATTTCCCACTGTGGAATTAATTTACAGTTTACAGCTTTTAATTATTATAGTCATTCATTATTAATGATAGAGAGTAAATAGTTCCTGTAAGAATTCTGATTCCAATCATCTTCAGATATCAGTTCTTCAGGCAGCAAATTAAGAGAAGAGCCACAAATCTATATTAATTCCATAGCAATACCTATTACACAAATATTGTAACGTAAATATCTTGGATTTCTTTTTTCTGTTAGTGGTGGGTTTGTTTTTTGTTTCCCCCCCC